GAAGTTTTACTGAAGTTCCTCTCAGACCACAAGCTCCAATTCAGATCCTTGTGGAACTTCACATATCGACTCCTTCCACCGAGAAAATATTTTTGCTCTGTCTTACAGCAACCTGTCTTTAACCCAGTGTCATCGACCCACGTGAAAACTTCTCTTACTCCACAGTTTCTTCAGAAGCTTTTGCTGATAGATTTTGTTGAATGCTTTTTAGAAACCCAAGTAGGCGACATCAGCTGCATCTCTCCTGTCCACATGCTTTGCCAACTCCTCACAAGACTCCAAATGACGTGTGAGGCCAGGACTTCTCTTTAGAAAAGCTCTGCCAACTCTCCTGGTACACCATTTTCTCCCTGTGCCCACTAGTTTGCCTTTTTACACAGTTTTCATTAAGTTGCCTGGTACAGATAACAGGCTCATTGCTCAGCAGCTCTCCAGAACTTTTCTAGCCACTTTTTTTAATTAACTATCTTCCCATTCTCTGCTATCAAAGTGCTTCTAAATGAGATGTTACACATAACCATTAGCAAGCAGCTCAGCTATTTAAATCTTGACTTCTCTTAGAACTCTTGGATGAATATCATGCAGTCCAACTGTTCAACACTTTTTATTTTAGCTGTTTATTTCATAACCTTTTCTACAGACACTTCAGCTTGAGACATACCCTCTGATAAATCTTTCACAAAATCAAGTATAAGCACAGGAATCTGCTTAAGTTCCTCTACAGTGAGCACAGAACAAAATACTAATTTAATTTTTTTCTAGAACCTTATCTCCTCTGAACAATCCATTTATTTTTGACTGTCCACCGGCTCTGACAACTTTTTTGGCAGGCTTCCTGTTCTATTTTGACCGAAAGCAGAAGAGTCAGATTTATTGGCAAAGTAACAACAAAACAAATGACAAGAGAACCGGCAGAACAAATGTTCAAGGATACGGGTGCCTGGTCACCCTGCTACACTGAAGTCAGGTTTCATAGGGTAGCTCTTGCACTGCAAGTGCAGTAAAAGAGTGGTAATTATTTTCTTTCACCTAATTCCATATGAAGATAAAAGCTAATTGTTATCATGCTTTTTTTTTTACGTTAAGTCGAGTTATATCACTTCTGATTTTCCGCTGCCACGGGTCAATTCTTCCAGCTAAGAGCTCATCATGGAGATTTGTGGGCAGAGAGGTGATGCTGGGGAAACCTAGTTAAGGACAGCGAGAGCTACAAACTGTCACCTGTGAACCCCTCTGGGATTCAGCACCCAGCACTACGGGGAGCCAGGGAAGCTCCCGTTCCTTCTCCCGACACCTCACCCCCGCAAAGGGGACAGAGTGCCGGAGGAGGGGTAGCGGAGCCCACGCAGCCTTGCCAGCCCACCACAGGCGCCCACCCGCGAGAAGCCCCCGCACAGAGCTCAGCCACGGGCTTCGCGCCTTCTCCAGGCTGGGGCAAGACAGTGAACGGCGGCCCCGGCTGGGGGGGGCG